ATATTGTGGAACAACAAATGTTAGACAATAATATATCAAAGTTGTAAATAAGTCATAAAATTATCTTACTTGAATTTTACTATTTTTCCAATAGGCTACCAATTGCTTGAAATGAGCTACAGGTACGGTCTGGGATGATGTTTCAATCTTTCACTCATAGTAGTGTACTTTAAAAAGAAACTCTTTTTCATATCTTTCTTGTAACGCCTCAAAGCATCATTTATGCGAGAGAAAATTACTTTAGTTCCATTATCAGATATAATGAACTTATCCTACAACAAAGAAGGAAATAGATACAAGTAACAAAATTAAGGGACACAAGTAACAAAATGAGAAAAAAAACTCCTTTTGATCATACAGTAAAAAATTCCCATATACGGTCTTTCTTTTTGGTGTCGTTGTCCTCTTTTTGGTTGGATACAATACACAGTTTGAACTATCAATTGCAGGACCAGTAGTTTCAAAGTTAGATAACTTGATTAGTTCCCTATATGTAGGCACAAATGGAGGTCGGATGCCTACTTTTATCGTGAGTTGGTTGTTACTATTTACCATCTAACATTTTATATCAAACTTCTTAGCCAATTCAGCACTAGATCTAAATAGAGGCAACCGAAAACTGGTCGTAAGTTGTTCACCCTTTTGTGCTGCATTCGTCTTCTTTTGTAAGTTTGTTACCTTCTTCATTTTATGTTAACATTGAAAAAAACATAACATTAGGAATAATTTAATCAAAATAAAAAGGTAGCATTTTAACCGATAGTATGCGGAAAATTTAAATAGCTAAATACAGAATTAACACTCTATACATCAGTCCTAAAATCAAATAGAGTATCATTATAATCAGAATCCTCTCCATCACTTTCAGCTTCTTTCATTTCACGAGAAGGTATTTCAGTTACTGTTGCAGGTATGTCTTCCCTAACCCAATTTAATTCACCATCACCATCACTATTATCTCTATGAGAAGGTGTTTCAGCTTGTAAGTTTGAAGGGTCACCAATGTTAAAAAATTCTCGTGGAACCGTTTGCAGAGCATAATACCTATTTGGATGAAAAGGGTCTTGGACATAGTAACATTGATGAACCTGAGAAGGTAGCACAAATGGATCATTCTGATAAATTTTCTTATTGAAACAAAAACAAGTAAGTTCGTATTTGTCTTTTTCAACCTCAAACCAATCGCATTTAAACAACACAAAGTTGAAGTTGTCATAGTAGTATAACTCAATTATATCAACAATTTCTCCATAATAAGTGACGGGTTCTGTCCTAGGATTTCCATCCTTGGAGCTAGCAAAACTTGAAGTTAGTGAAACTAAAGTTACACCAGAATTTTGAGTTTTGAGATTTGTATCTCATTTCGTAGTATGGAACCTATATCCATTAATGATGTAACTTGGATACCTATTTGCAACAAAATTAGGACCTCTAGAAAGTTTTTCAAGTTGTAATGGTACATCATCTTTCTGGGCACAAGTTTTAAACCATTCACCAAAATCTTTACTTTGACTTTTGGCCTTGGTCCACTTCCATTTGTTAGTGTTTGAATTAACACTCTAATCATGCTCACTACAAAAGTCAACAATTTATATGTTAACATAACTCCAAAATTAGGATTAGTAGATAAATACATAGGTGGACAAATAGTTATTGTAGTACGTGATGTAAATTTGAACTTCATTGTAATTGAATAAGATATATTGATGGCATCATCCTTTGATTTCACATCAAGAGGAAAGGGTTCACCTTCCCCTCTAAAGGACGTCCCGCAGTTGTAAAGTAATCATTTGAATCTACTTCAAGTGAATCACTATCATTATAATTCTGACTCTTCCTATTCAACCTTGTATTTACATTGTTATGCACATACCTTGAGCAAAACGTTATAGCTTCTTCAGCCAAATACCCCTCAACAATAGAACCTTCAGAATAAGCTCTATTACGGACATAGTTCTTAACTTTACATGAGTATATTTCGGTGGGATACATCCATCAAAATTGAACAGGACCACCCAATATATCTTCATTTACCAGGTGAATAAGCAAGTGAACCATTATGTCAAAGAAACATGGAGGAAATATCATCTCCAACTGACAAAGTATCTCTGCAATCTCTTCTTCTAAGTAATCTAAATATTCCACTTGTATAACTTTCTGACATAGAGAGCAGAAAAAAGAATCAAGATGAATTAATGGGGTTGCCACCTCCTTGGGCATTGTGCTTCTTACTGTAATTCGCAACAAATAGTGTAACATGAAATGGGCATCATGACTCTTGTAACCGGATATTTTTTGTCAGTAACTTGTGTGCATTTTGAAATATTTGATGCAGTCCCATCTGGTAACTTGGCAGCCTTTATCACTCCACAAAAAATTTATTTCTAGTGCGGAGTCATTGAGAAACATGCTTTTGCAAACTCTATACATCCTCCACCAATCTCCCTTGGATGAAGTCTTTCTCTAATTCCCAAATCTTGCAAATCATAGCAGGCTTTAATATGATCTCTTGTCTTCCCCGAGATGTCCCAAAAGAATTCCAATAATACTATCAAATATGTTTTTTTCAATGTGCATTACATCTAGATTATGGTGCAATGTATTTTGAGCCCAGTAAGGCAACTCAAAAAAATTGACCTCTTCTTCCAAGGTCCATAAGTTTTCTTATTTTTCTTCTTCCCGAATTCATTATTGAAATCTTTTAAGATTTCAAGGATTTCTTCCCCTTTTAACGTGGATGGTGCAATCTTATGTTCTTCTTCTCCAATAAATAATTTTACATCATCTCTCCAAGAATGAGTTCTTGGTAAAAAGATATTGGGGTCCATATAACACATCTTATGATTGTGTTTGAGGTAGAACGAATTGATGTCAGATTTACAACATGCACACGTCAATTTTCCTTTGGTGCTCTAACCCGACAACATAGCATAAGCAGGGTAGTCACTAATTGTCTATAAAATAGCTGCACACTTTCTAAATGTTTGATTTATTGAAGAATCATATGTCTCTATGCCGAATTCCCATAATTCCTTTAGATCCTCTATCATTGGCTGGAGGTAAACATAAATATCGTTTCCTAGAGATTTTGGTCTAGGAATCAACAATGACAACCTTGTATATTCAAGTTTCATAGAGAGCCAAGGTGGTGTGTTGTATACCATCATCAAGATATGCCATGTAATATGAGATAAGCTCATTGTCCTAAATTGATTAATCCTGTGATACGGTGGGAGAACTGACTTGAGGTTTTGCGTTTGTGTTCGCAAATGTTTCGGTTTAGCAAGAGTCGCCACCGACTTTTTATTTTATCCAAAGGAAAGGTCAAAAAGAACAGGAAAGACCTTTGAGATGTTTTCTTGGGTTCGGGGAGTAGATTATGAAAAGGGAAGGTGCAAGCACCCTTTTCATCCATGGTTATCCATGGGCTCTTAGTTACTTTTTTAGATCACTTACTTTTCTTTTCCAATTGTTTGAAATGGTGCTTTGTGTGGTTTTGAAAGTATTTTGAAAAGAGGCCATCATTTTGGCAACCTTTGTAATGATTCTTGTTTGAATATATACAAAGGTGTTTGTCTTTTGAAAAGATATTTCAATGTTTGAAAGTTTGTTTTGGGAAATGTTTTGAAATTGTGTTGTGAGGTGTGTTTGAAAATAGCAAGGATATTTTTGCAAGTTTTGATCAAGTAACTAAGAGTTGTCTACCCTATTTTACTCAAAGATCTTTCCTATGTATTTTTAACCTTTTTGACAATGTTGTTTTACCATTGCATTTGGTAAACAACCTTGTGTTTAGATGTTTAAACGGGACAGGCGCGGGTCATCGTATTGACCATGATAGCAATATTGCCAAGTATCTTTAGCAATTTTTAAGGGACTAGATCATTTTTGTATAGGAAACCAAATTAGTGTCATCAAGGGACTATGATCTTTTGTTTTGTTTTTGTTTTGCCAAAGTACTCAACATGCATAACATGGCCATTTAAAAAGGCAACAAGTGGATGAAACCCTAGGGGTGCATGTGTGCATTGTATTGTCAATTTTTATGCTTTTTTGTCTTGTATTAGGTCAAACTATTTGTTTCGATTTTAGATTTCTGCATACAAACCCTAATCTCTAATCATGGCATATTTGACAGTATAAAGTGCGTAAAATAAATATACACTATTACAACATTGATATGGGGAGGGGGATATAATTTTTTGAATGGGGAATATTTGCAAGAAATTAAAACCCTAATATTACTATTACATCCAAATTTAATAAATGGTACAAATAAATAAATGGACAAATATTAAACAATTTAAATATAAGTATGCAAAATATTATGAATATACACAAAATGTTTTTGTTTATTTTTTTTATGTGTGTAAAAAAATAATTAATGTATATATAAAAAAGAAATAAAGGATTATTATATTTTATTTATTAAGGGTAAAACCCAAATTTTCTTTTAAGAAAGTATATATATATATATATATATATATATATATATATATATATATATATATATATATATATATATATATATATATATATATATATATATATATATATATATATATATATATATATATATATATATATATATATATATATATATATATATATATATATATATATATATATATATATATATATATATATATATATATATATATATATATATATATATATATATATATATATATATATATATATATATATATATATATATATATATATATATATATATATATATATATATATATATATATATATATATATATATATATATATATATATATATATATATATATATATATATATATATATAAATTATAAAAAAAGAAATGAATGAAATATATACAAATGTCACAAAATGAAAATATATTAAAAAAATATATTATTTTTAATAAGGGTGGAAACCCTAGTTTTCTTTTAAGAAAATAAATATATATTAAATATATTATTTATGTACAATAAAATAAAATAATGTATATACAAAAATAAAAAGTATATTAGAAAAAATATTATTTAAGTATAAGTAATAAAAATAAAAGTATAATATTTTTATGTATTATTTTTTAAGTTTTCATCAAATAAAATAAAAGTATATAATCACTAAATTATTTTTATGTTAGAAAAATAAAAATAAAATACAAAAATAAATGTGAAAATTTATAAAAATATTTTTGGTATTTTTTATGTTTAGAAAATATAAAATAAAAATCAGAAATGAAAAATAAATGGAAAAATATAAAAATATGAAGAAATGGGCCAGGGGGTGTAATTAGCAAAGCAGGGGGTGTCAATAGTGAGCCAGAACCAAGCCCAGCCCATGAACTTCATCTTCAACCTTTGTCAAAAAACAAAAACGCGCGTCTGACTTCAATCATGGAAAACCTGCATACGTGCTCTAATGCAAAAACTCAAAATATCAAAGTTGTAGCATTTTTCAAGACGAATCCAACCATGTAAAAAACTCATTCTAACTCTCAAAGACCAGAGAGAATTTCTCTGGCCCTAAATCCTAACCTGATTTTTTCAGGAAGTTCATGGATCAAATTCTCTTAACACGCTTAACTTAAATGAAAACTGAGCATATGTACAACTTTATGGCCATGAATACTACATTTTTTATTTACAAACCGAAGCCTAATGATTCTTAAATAGAGAGATAGGAAGTTGACAAAAACCTGTTTCAGTTGACTTCGAGTATGGCAATGTGGAGCTTTTCAGTGAGGCCTGAGATGTTTGGGAGCTTGCTTGAACTTCCTCTGACCTTCCCCAATGCCTAGTTTGCCTTGAATGTGCTTGAACAAGCCTGTAGAACTCAACCTGCACAAGCTGAAATCAAAAATGGTAAACCTTGCAAATGGAGTTACAGTCAGTGTTTAAGGGTTGGGATAGCTTGGATAGGTTATATGGAAGGTGTTTGAACAAGTTTGAGGCAAAACACACGAGGGGTTTTTGCTATGGAAGTCAAACTGCAGGGAGTGCCCTGTTTTTCCAATGGAAGGTGATTTTGTGTTTTGGCATGCTTCAGGACTTAAAGGATCGTGTTTTTGGTTCAATACAATGTGTGAAACTTGTCTCCAATGCTTGCAAAAGTTGGTTTCAACAAATGTGCAAGTTGTGTTGTATTTGACAAGTTTCTTGGTTATGAAGCAAAATGAGAAGTGACAAAGAGCAGGCCTGTACAAGCTAGCTCTAACCATGCATACATTGTGTAAGCTTGGCCCCAAGTTTGTGGATTTGGTTTTCTGTACAAGATCTTGTTCAAGGCTCAAGGATTCTATTTGACATAAGACAAGATTTTGACAAAAACGGCAAAGTTACCTTTTACTATTTTTGGATTAATCTAATGTATAATCCTCTAATGACCAAAACAAAGCCTTATACCAATGGATTTGTATTTAATTATTGATTATGGAAGGATTTTGAGACCTGTAATCAAGTACAAACAAGGCTGATTAGAGTTTGCAACTTGTATCAATATGAACATGCCATGGATCAAAAGTGAGTTTTTAACAACTTCAAACCTTCGATTATCCCTAACCACAAATGATTTTGGAGAGTTCTTGGACTTATTAGAAATCTTGTAACATGCTCTACATTCCATCTTTGAAATGAACTTTGAGATTCCAAGTGGAACCATGTGAAACATTTCCATGAAGATAGGTCAAAATCCTGCCTAAACTA